AGAAGAATGTTGTTTAAGCAAGTCATGACCTATAACTACATCAGCACATAAATCTTGAATTATTGATAATTTGACATTTTTATATGAATGTTCGTTTATTTCTAAATTAACAAAGCAGTGTCCTGAGATAGTCGTTCTGAGTGCTGTTGAAGCCATTATTATGCTTGCATGACTTCTAAATGTTTTCACGTTTATAGACAATGCATAATTCTTACTGATATATGACTCAGAACTACCTGTGTCTATTAAACTTTCAGCTGTATTTCCATTCACCTTTATCTCAGTAACACTTTTAGATAAGCATTGAGGGGCAGCAGCAAGATTTCTAACATTCGAACTAGATGTAGTAGTAGCTAAAACAGCAGCTGATACTGAATTGGGCATCTGAAGCCTACATACCTTGGAAAAATGTCCAACTTTCGAGCATTTCTTACAAACTTTGTCTCTAGCAGGGCATAGGCTACGAGGATGCCTTTCAGTTGATCCACAAAAGTAACATTTCCAACTTTTCACAGCAGCAGAAGTATAATTAGTGTGCTCTCTGGTTTCAGAAGAAATTGCATTAATAATTTGTACAGGAGTTGTATAAGCCTCAGAGTGTTTTGAAGCTGACTCCAGAGACTGGGCTTTTACTATGGCATCTTGCAGAGTAATAGTGTTGTTTTCTAGTAAACGTTGTCTTATGTCATTAGAAAGAATGCCATTAATAAAAGAGTCTCTTATATAATCTTCTCTATTTTGGTCTGCAGAAACGGCTAGAAAATTACAGTCTTTGGAAAGCACTTTAAGATGTTGAACGTATTGACCTATATTTTCACCAGTTTGTTGTTTTTTTGTCATTAGGATATGTCTGGCAAAAATTTCATTTTTGGGTTTAACAAAAGCTGCTTCAAGAATACTTTTGGCTTCAGAATACTTTCTACAATCAGAGATGAGTTCATAGATATTGTTGCTCACGTAATTTACCAGTAGTTTGAATTTCTCCTCCTCTGAAACATCAATCACAGAGGAAATAAAGTTTTCAAAGGTAGCTTTCCAATGCATCAAAAGCTGCTTCAAGAATACTTTTGGCTTCAGAATACTTTCTACAATCAGAGATGAGTTCATAGATATTGTTGCTCACGTAATTTACCAGTAGTTTGAATTTCTCCTCCTCTGAAACATCAATCACAGAGGAAATAAAGTTTTCAAAGGTAGCTTTCCAATGCATCCATTCTTGAGACGATCTAGGAGAGTTAGGATCAGCATCGAATCTGTCTGGTCGTAGTAGCTTATCCATATTTGATATTTCTTGTATATTAAAATGACAAACACAGTTCACAGACCACAGGACACTAAGAACCATAGCTGGCTCGAACAACAGAGCAAATCGAACACTAAAGACGCCCTCCAATCATAGAGGGCAAATACTCACCAGGTTTCCCACTAAGAAAGTTCCGTTTTCTCCAACAAAACTTCTGCACAACACTGGATATGAACTTCCTGATGAGTACTTTGAAATTCTAGAAACATTCCCCATACAATATCGCAGATAAAGACTGCGCTCCAAAAACGCTGATAAAGAGCCGTTCCTACTGTATGGCTGATAACCCCCTGAAGTACCTCAATTGGCATGCTAGGCAATTCCCACTTCTTCTTGGGCGTTCCTATCGATCACACATACAAGTCATCGTCTTTTCCCCCTGCTGCTTAGTAGTCTACTACTTCTCAACATCGGGCATCTTTTAATTGACGTTTATCACACCCTCACAACTCCGTTAAAAAAAAAGAGTAATCCATTCCTTGAATAGGCTCAGGCCTAAACAAGGTTAAAACTCGTGTGTCATATCAGAGTTGAAAGTAAGATGGAAGAAATATTAAAAGAAACTTATACAGAAAACGTAGACGTGATAGTACTAATGAAAACAAAGAGAAAACGTGAAGACACAAAATCTAGGTAAATATTTATACATATATGGTGGAGTAAAAAGGAAGAACTATAAAGCGTTTCAGGTTAAGAACTCAACATTGCCTAATGTACAATAAATAACCTAGCAATAGTAAAATCAGTATAACACTTCTATCAATATCTCATCAATCTGGAAGGAAGTTTTTAATGCGATCCGACCATGCTGCCCTTAAGTGGATAATGCAGTTAAATAATCCAGAGGGTCAGATAGCCGATGGGTTAAACAACTCCAAGAATACGGAGAGGGTGTAACCCCTTTCGCATTTGCGGACAACCTCGCTATGCAGGTAGTGGGGCGAGACAGGGAGGACTTAATATTTGGTGTACAGCGTACATGCACCCAAGTCGAGGAATGGATGAAAATGCATGAGCTAGAAAGAGAGTGGTTCCAAAGAAATGCGTGAGGAACCGCGCGTTGAAGAAATTTAGGGGCGACTCTGAGTCAAAACGGAAGGTGGGGGGAGCACGTAAAAGCGGTGACTCAAAGAGTTGCGGTAAGATCCGCCGCGTTGGGGGATCATGCCTAACATTGGAGGACCCTTCATTCTATTGTGCAATCGATTGTCCACTAAGCTGCGCCTGTCTGCAGTACTGCAGTTTTAACAAAGGCGTACAGAAAGCAGCTCACCCGAAATGCCTGTACTGTGAAATATCGGACATTGTCTCACATACTCTATTGGTATGCGATAGATGGATAAATGAGAGAAGCCTGCTTGAGAGAGAGCTAGGAACTAGGGTGCAATCAGTCACGGAATTGGTGGAGGAGATGCTTAGGTCGTCAGTTTGCTGGAGAACAGTTCAGAGATATGTGAGGAGAACGCTGGAGAGAAAGGAGCAAGAAGAAAGACGACCTGAGGGTAGGCAGGCTGCCCGGAAGCAAGCAAGAAGATAAGGCAGAATGAGAAGGGGCGAGGTTAACATGAAGAGGGAAAAAGGGCTAGAGTGCGCGATAATTGTGCGTGAATGAGAGGTCAGGTGAATGTTGCGTCCCAATCAGAGCGATCCGGCCGGTAATTCGCCGCTGAGGAGGGTGTGGTTAAGTCTCTGGCATTGACGGCGATGGTGTCCGAACAACCCTTGCCTGCGTTCTCGGATATCATCGTGGCCACGCTGGAGGAGTCCTGCATAACCGATTCTGCCCACCTTCTAGGACCGAGGTATGTTTAGAGCATTTGGACCACGCCCCCTCATCAAAGAAGAAAAAAAACTCCAAGAATATGATTTCAAGATTGAACCTGAGTCCATAGTTGGTCATTTTGATTTTTAACACGATTTACAAACCTAAATTACATGATGAGAAAAACTACTTAAGTATGTATGACAAACAAAAGTTCCCAATTGAATCGATAATGGATATTTCCAAACACAGGATAAACCAGCAGTATATTTGAAAAATTGTATGATTTTAATTTTTAAAATATGGTTTCTCCTAATTGATTTAAAAAATAATACAAAAGCATTTAGTCAAATATAAGAGAAAGTCTGCACAACATACTGCAAGGGTGTAGGAGAGAGACAGTAAAATAATATATTGGAGAAAATTGAAAGCGAACAATAATTCTGAAGATCATAAATTAAGCATTCTGATGAATATTTGAATGAATCTAAACAGATAAAAGAGCTGATAGTATATAAAAATAGAAGAGACATCTATAAAAATGCATATAGTAGCTATGAAACCAGGTATTTAAATCACGAGATGTACATAAAAGAAGTAAGATACGAATCTAAAAGACCATAATGATCTATGGATGTCAAACTTGGGTTTGACATCAAAAATCTGTACACCACATAGTAAACATCGTTGAAAGAAAGGTACTGCGATGAATACTGGCCCTTATAAATGAGAACAACAGGGGGCCAATCAGATTCAATTATGAAGTATATATTATATATAAAGAACCACCTTTATCTGCAGCATCTTCAATGGACAGGCCATGTATTTAACAGATAGATTAACTGTATGATTAACCTGGGAACAACATATAGTTAATCTATCAAAAAAGCTTTCTAGACAACTTTTCCTCTTCAGGAATCTTGTACAAGTGACTTACAGGGGAACTATTTTAACAGATTATCATAGTAATTTTCATTCTGATCTGACATATGCTATTCTCTCTTGGTGTCACTCTTGTCATATTGATAAAGTGTTTGCACAACAAAGAAAGTGTGTCTATATTATTTCTGGACTTTTTTATAGAACAGACTGTAGAAACTCCTTTAGAGCTTTAAAAAAATTTAACTTTACCTTGTGTATACATTATGCGGTGTTTGTTGCACATTAAACGAAATCTTAGCCAATACAATGAGCATGTACATTTTCACAATTATCCCACCAGATTTAATAATAATCTTATACCCAAATTTGGCAGACTTGAGAGATCCAGAAATGGTTTAAGGTATTTGGCCATAAAATTCTACAACTTAGTGCCAGCTAGAATAAAAGCTCTTAATTTTCATCAGTTTAAGCAAAAATTAAGAGTTACCTTATAGTGAATACCTTTTTTACATAATATGAGTATTTTAGTTTCGATTTTAATTTGTTGTAATTGTCAACAGTATAAGTTAAAACACTGTATCTATGTTTTATATTTATGTGTATATTAACTATATTGACATGTTTTTTTGACTTGTAAAAAACACTTTTGTATTCATTTATTACCAATAAACCATCTATCTATTAAGGATGAAAAAAAAATAGACTTAAAAAAATGTTGAATGCAACAATGTAGGGCAAGAGACCTATTGAAAGACTGAGAAAGAGATGGGATGATGATGTGAATGGGGACACAAGAAATCTCCTTGGCAGTCTATCATGTAGGAAAATAGCTACAGATCATAACGAATAAAGAGGTTTGCTTAGAGAGACCATGGCTCGAATTGTGCTGCAGGCCATAGGATGGATGGAGATAGAGTACATCTAGAATATCTCATTTTTTGAAGATAAATATCATATCCATTAAAAAAAGTAAACAGTACACAATATGTTGTATAGGTAAAATAATTTTGACATTAGTGTATGTAGCAGAATCATAATTAATAATAAAATGTGTTGTGTTTATATGTTTATAATTACTTTTTACAAAATAATAAACTTATTTCTACTTAAACATACTAAAATGTACACAAAACTAAATGACCTATTATTAACTTTTCTCCTCTTTGGTCTCTTTAGCAGCTTCAGAAGCTTCTTTTGCCTTTTCCCTGTTTCTCCAGGCAGTCATATAACTCCGAGGGTGAATAGGATAGAATCCTGCAAGACCTAGAAATTTAGACAAAATTTACATTTTCAATATAACAGCATACAGTTGATAGACAGGATTATGAAGACAGTCAATCTTAAAATAAAATTCACATAAATATTAAACTTAGGCAATATAGTCTGTAGAGGTATGGTCACATAAACTTTTTATCTCTGATAACCACTTAGGAAAAATATATCCTACATTATTGAAAATATCTTTTATGTTTACCTAGAGATATGATATTTATTTATAAACGACAATATAAATAATAGTTATACCATATTATATAAACATTTCATTAACACATTGCGTGCGGATGTCCGATCATGAGACTTATACTCTGAACTGAAACTTATTTATTAATAAAAATGTGTATAATCAGTGGCATACATGTGCGTCGTCCGCACATTGGTGAAGGGACCATGTGGCTCACATGTATGCCATCTGCATGGAACGTGTTAACAGAATATTTGTCTTCACAAATCCCTTAAAAATAGAGTAAATATTATATCTATTAGAAGTTTAGAGTTACAAACCTAATAACTCAAGAACAGGATTTGTTGCAATGGCTCCATGTGTTAACCAATATCGAATTCTTTCAAAGTTTAAGGATGTTAATTTTTCATTGTGTTCATTTGGAAAAGGGTCATGAGTTCCAAGTTGTTCTATTGAAGGGTCGTGTTGATCTGTTCTAGCCTGAAATACACACGAAGTAAGCAAGCATTAATTAAAAAAGAGCCAAAGTTCTTACTTCAGCAACTACTATATGGAAAAATGGTCTATTAGTACAACCTTTCCGAACAAATCTAATAATCTTTGTAGGTACTGGAAATGGCAGTCCAGCTTTACTCATTGAAACGCTCAGTTTCTTAATATGTGCCATTTTTATTCAACACCGATCCTTTTATGTATTATACACAATCAAATAAAATTTGATATTTTTAACAAACTTAATTTTGCTATAACTTTTAGGTTATATCATAATAACCTCATACTTCTTCTTTCTATAATACGGTCTTGTACTTGTAGTAGCTTCCTAGATTTAATTTTCGTTTAAACTGCCGTTTGAACTTGAACAACATCCGAAGTCTATTTCAGAGTTTTTAAGGTGTCCTTATAATACGTTATCATCACCTTAGTAATCAAGGAATCATCTACTGATTTATTTTTCTTGTAAATTTAAATTAAATTAAAATAAAATAATGATAACAGAAAGACGTTTGACTACTAAAATAATTATGTTTAAAATATCCAGTTATCTCATGAGTTATCTATCAAAATATCTAATTTATAAATTTTAGACTGGTTCTAAATGTGCTAATCAAAACTACCGGTAAAAATTCTTGTGACCATAACAGAGCAGGTAATATGAAGAATATTCATTAAATTTTCTAAAAATTGAGCTAAAAAAATTTTGCTTTTGACAAAAAAACTACGCCTATGAATTCTTTACTGTTTTGGCAATTTTGAGTGTTTTGTCCCAACATGGAATTTATTATAAAAATTATAAGAAGAACCGTACATACTTCACACCTGTTGTGAATAGTTGAAAAATGAAAACACTTCAGATTTCTGATATATTATTTAAATTTTTATGACTTTTTAGTTGCCTATTCCCACAAAATTCTTGGTAATAATGGTATATTTTTAACTGATTGCTAATAGAATAAATAGCACACCAATTATCGATGCAGTACCTATGTTATCTGAAATGATTTACAATCTTACATAAATTTACTTCTAGAAGACAGTTGCATAAAATACTTACATCTCTGTGGTTATAAAATAAAGGAAAATTCCGAAATTTGTGTTAAATATGTTAAGAAACATTTGTACGAGAGTGCGTCTTTCTGGTCGAAATTTTTCGACTTCCTCTACATTTAGAGAAAAATATAGGTAATGTAAAATATTTTTTTAAAATTAACAAAAATTAATACAACTAATTGGGCATTAAAAGGGCACACCTTTTTCTTAAATATATTGTGAAACTTTTGTCTCGGTCTTAGTTCTATAAGATTGTTTTTTCTAGATCTGTCCCCTATGTATATATTTAATTTGATATTAAATATATGATTTTCTATCTGTTTGAAGGGGTGTGGGGGGTACTATCAAAGAATATAGAGGCTTATAAGCGTCTGTATTCTTTGTAAGTTTAAAGCTATGTTTCTTCTAAACAGTTGATTGGATTTCAAAGATTTTTATATCACATTATAGGTTTATTTGTAAGAAATTACTGTTCAAATATTTTCTGAGAAATGTGAACATTTTACTCATAGTTGTGTTTTTTCATCTTATTTTGCATCACCCAGTTAATTTTTTTACAAACTCTACATCCTATTAATATTGCAAGATGGCTTCATCTTTTCTCAAAATTTTTGTAAAAAAATCACCTCAATATTTCTATTATCAAAATACAAAAAATGTACATTCAAAGGAAATGTGGTTTAGTGAATTTTCAAGAGCACCTTGAATGGAATGTTTATGACTGGGATCACATATCATTCACATATGAATTGAGGTATTGTTTATCTAATCTCAGATATATGTGTAAGAGTTATGTGAAGACCAAGAGAACACTATACAGATAGAGAACGCATACTTAAATCAATGGAGGATCCATAACGGTTTGGGAAGGAATATCTCTTACAGCAAGGAAGGACAATGTTGCCTTATGAAAAAGTTCCTTAAAAAGTGAAATTTATGTTACAGATATTTTGCACAGCAAATAATTTTATTTCAATGCATGATATTGTATGACTGAAACAACGAAATGAGCAATGACGAGTCAAGATGAAGAGTTACTATGAATCTTTGAAGGAACAGTATTGGGGAACATATGGCGGAGTTAGCAAACAGTGTATATGGAGAAGGAGATATAATTGCGAAATCTATAGACTTTTTGTTGATACAGATATCATGAAAACCATCAAAACAAACCAACCACATGTTGCAGTGTGGTCTGTGTAAATGAGGTTGGTATACAGACCATGATCTAACCACCCTGCAGCCTCAATCTAAATCCCATATAGAATTTGTGAGATATTATTGATCTTCAACTAGGAGCCCACATAAGAAGTTTCTGTTTGGCCTTAAACATGAATCACTATCCAAATAATTAACTGACTTTGTTTCAATAAGGAAAAAGTAAATTTTCTAATGCTTGAAGCTATTTTTTGAAAATGACATATTACTACCTTGACCAAAAAAGTTAGTTTCATAATATACTAATGTATAAACTCTAGAGGGTTCTCACTTTTTTAAATGCATTAATTTTTTATTTTCTTCATCTTTGTTACTTATTCGTTTATTTTCAGATGCCTTTAACTTTATTAGTGCACACTTAGTGCAAGTATCTTATGCTGGAGCTGTGTCCAAGCGATATAAGTATAGGTTCTTTGGTGCTATAGATTTGTTATATATTTATATAGTTCGAATTTATTTGTCTTTATTCTAATTTATTGTCTATAATCTAATTTATTAAAACTCACGATAGCTAATTACTAATTTATTAAATAACTTTACAAATGTATTTATTTCACGTTTCGTTACAAGTAAACCGCGTTTACCGATCTTCTTATGACTGACTGCCAAATAAAAAAATCTTTCATTTATATACACAACTGTTGTCATCCAGAGAATTCGGCGGACTTCTTGAATAATCTCGTATTTTGGTGAAGGCGCTCGACTCGTTTTTCAACCTCGAGACGTGGATGACTCACTAAAATTAGTGTCTAGAGATTTCTGTAAACAACTGGTAGCGAAGCTCAGGTATATTTTGACCTACAAATTACGAGAATCAATAAAAAGAATTAGTCATAAAACATTTACAGTTCTATATGCCATAACATTTAAAATCGTAACATTGCCCCCCTCTTAAAAGATGGTTCCTCCTGGAACCTTGTCGGGACTGGAACTGGAACGACATGCTGATATCGGCAACTGGACCCTCTTTTACAACTTCCAGTTGTATAGAAATGACAAGGGACGGTTTTCTCTCCGCACCAGTAACTATGCGGATTGCAACAGACTAACACCTGGACTTCGGTGTCTTTAAAGATTTCCTCCACCATGTTTCGCATAACCCTCCAATCTAATCGGCGGCACTCCAACTTTGGCATGGCTAACTTTTGCACGTCGGACTCTAGTACGTGCTCTCTCAACTGAAGTAAGGCTTCCCATACATCTCGGTAGGTAGGTTGGTCTCGGGCAGTGTCTTTTGTTACCAGGTAGAAAAGGTAACGTGATGCATCTTGAAGTTTCAAGGTTTTACCAGGAGCTGGCACTTGGCATTGAAGTTCTGCAACTCGACCAAACTTCCTTTGAAAGACGGATGCCAACCCTGGTGCATCTTTGATACTGGCCGGGATGGTAAGGGCCAGTGAGTAGTCATCGGGAAGCGCGAGTAGATCTTGCCTTTCTTCAGTGGTAACACCATGTCTTGCTTTACCGGTACCTCCATAGGCACCCATGAATTCCTCAAACGTGAGGTCAGACACATCTTGGACTTGGTTTACTTCCACTTCTTCATCTACGTCGTGGTCACCCTCGAAAGACGCCAACCGGTTATGGTGTACTATCATCGGCTTTCCTCTCGGGATCTTGCTTATTCGGTAAATAACATCATTGATCTTCTCCATAATGAGGTATGGACCTTCCCAAAACTGCTGCAATTTGGGAGAACAACCTTTTCGCTTTTTGGGGTTATAAAGCCAGACTTTATCGTTCTTCTTAAAACACCCCTTTTCGGCTTGTGTATCGTACCGTTTCTTCATTCGGTCACTAGCGATTTGGAGATGGGAACGGACCAACTCGTGTACATCGTCCATTCTTCTTCGTAATTCGATCACATAATCTTCACCTGCTACATCTTCTCCAGGTCGACACCCAAACTCCAGATCACAAGGTAGTCGCATCTCGCGTCCGAATAGGACTCTGGCTGGTGTCTGGCCTGTTGATTCATTAACAGCAGATCTGTAGGCCATTGTGAAGAACGGAAGATATTGGTCCCAGTCTCGCTGATGATCGGACACCATCTTTGTCAAATACTTGCCAACTGTTCTATTCATTCGCTCTACCATACCATCCGATTGCGGATGATAAGCCGTAGTTCTTGTTTTCTTCATACCTAGTCTATCACATATTCCTTGGAATAAATCGCTTTCGAAGTTCCTGCCTTGGTCACTATGGATCTCCAAAGGCACTCCAAATCGGCTGATATATTCTTGGATCAACTTATCTGCAACGGTGGCGGCCTTCTGGTCTGGAAGTGCGTAAATCTCGACCCACTTAGTGAAGTAATCCATTACTACCAACATGTACTTGCCTCCATTATCACTTTCTGGAAATGGCCCAGCAATGTCCAAAGCTATTCTTTCAAACGGGCTTCCAACATTATATTGTCTCATAGGAGCTCTCCTTTTTCGATAAGGCCCGTTACTCGTAGCACAAATAGTACATTTCTTACACCAGTCTTTTACATCGTCGGAACTGTTCATCCAATAAAACCGTTCCCGAATTCGCTGAAGGGTCTTTTTCACACCAAAATGCCCTCCTGATGGACTGTCGTGTAACTGACGAAGTACTTCGGCTATTCTGCTCTTTGGAATCACCAACTGTCTTCTCTTCTCTGAACCGTCATCATTTTCCAGGACTCGTTTGAGCAAGCCATCTTCCATGATAAATGAGTCCCACTGGGCCCAATACGTCTTAACTACTGAGCCTAGGTTCGATATTTCTTGCCAAGGTGGTCGACGGTTTTCCTCTTTCCATTTTCGGATTTTCTGTATAACTGGATCTCTCTCTTGTTCTTCCCTGATCTTGGTAGGCGTCCAGTCGTCGTGGACCACCGTCGTTCTTAGCACTGCTGCTTCCTTGGATTCCGTTTTGTTGCAGTGAGAACACTCTGCTGGGCATGGCCTTCTGGAAAGAGAATCAGCGTTTCGGTGGCTAACTCCGGCCCGGTGCTCAATCTTAAAATCATATTCTTGGAGTCGTTCGATCCACCTGGCTATCTGACCCTCTGGATTCTTAAACTGCATCAACCACTTAAGGGCGGCATGGTCGGTTCGGATTAAAAACTTCCTTCCATAGAGGTATTGATAGAAGTGCTCTACTGATTTCACTACTGCCAGAAGTTCTCTTCTCGTGACGCAATAATTTCGCTCAGGTTTTGAGAGAACTTTACTAAAATATCCAAGGACTCTTTCCTGTCCTCCTTGAATCTGAGACAGCACTCCTCCAATTCCCACATTACTTGCATCTGTATCTAAGATGAACTCTCCTTCTGGCAGTGGATACCCTAAAATTGGTGCTGTGATTAAATGCTTTTTTAAGGTTTCAAAGGCATTCTGGCAGTCTACATCCCAGCGGTATTCTCTTGCTTCCTCTGTAAGTCGCGTTAATGGTTTAGCGATATCTGCAAACTTCTTAATAAACCTCCGGTAGTAAGTACACAGTCCCAGAAAACTTCTCACTTGGTGTTTGTCAGTTGGTTTTGGCCATTCCTTAATAGAATCGATTTTTCCCTTATCCACGGCCACTCCTTCTTTACTGACTATATGACCCAGATAATTGACTTTACCTTGAAATAGCTGGCACTTCTTGGGGTTTAACATCAATTGGGCAGCTTTAAGTCGATTAAAAACGTTTTCTAAATTCTTCAGATGGTCTTCAAATGTCTCCCCCAAGACAATTATGTCGTCTAGATAAACTAGGCATGTTTTCCAAGATAACCCTCTCAACACATTTTCCATAAGCCTCTCAAATGTCGCAGGAGCGTTACAAAGTCCAAATGGCATAACGTTGAATTGCCATAATCCAGATCCTGTGGTGAAGGCTGTCTTTTCTTTATCTACCGGGTCCATTTCTACCTGCCAGTATCCAGACTTCAAGTCCAAAGTAGAAAATAATTTACTTCCAGCCAATGTGTCTAATGTGTCATCGATCCGAGGAAGAGGATAACTATCTTTCTTGGTAACGTTGTTCAGCAAACGGTAATCCACACAGAACCTCGTTGTTCCGTCTTTCTTCTTAACCAGGACCACCGGAGAGACCCATGGGCTCGTAGAAGGTTCTATCACCCCGTCTTTCTTCATTTCCTGAACAATCGTTTCAGCTTCCTCTCTTTTCGCCTGTGGTAATCGTCGAGCTGTTTGACGAATTGGCTTAGCATTACCAGTATCAATTTTATGCTTAACAACGGTAGTTCTTCCCGTCTTTCCTCCTTTCGGTACGAAAATATCACGATACTGCCGAAGAAATTCCCTTAATTTCCTTTTCTCAATCTGATTCAGAGACTGTCCAGCAACCGCAACCATTTGATCAAATTTATCGTTGGAATTATCAGACGTTGTCGTCTGACGGATTATGGATGTGACAGGTACACAAGTTCCTACTTTTGTCTCTTTCTTGATGGTTACTGGGTAGTCATTGACATTAATAAGTCTTACAGGAATTTCTTTAGCCGAAGTCACTAATTCTTTCCAATTATGATTCCACGGCCAACTTCGTCGTCATGATTCCGAGGCTCCATCATAACAGGTGTTCCTTCATCCACAATTCCCTGTAACCGCGCTACTATTATCGTTTCACTTCTCGCAGGCACGACTGTATCTTCTTTAACGGCTGCTTGCATAGTGTTGTCATCATGTGGATGGAGAAATACCTCCTCGTTACCAACTTTGATTACCTTATTCTTAAAATCCAATTGGAATCCATGCGTATTCATTACGTCCATTCCTAATATAACATCCTCTTCGATGTCAGCAACTATAACAGTATGGACGAACTTTTCTGCTCCAATTCCTAATTGTACCTGGATTTCTCCATGAATGTTGGCATTTTCCCCTGTGGCGGTCCGAAGTCGCAACCTCGTTGGTAACAGTTTCTTTCGGCTGTTTATAACTGTCGGGCGTATAATGGTTCTGGTCGCTCCAGTATCCACCAACAACGTATGCTTTTTACCATTTATTTCTCCATCTACATATACACTATCTTCACGACATTTCAAAGAAGCTATTAGTATCAGAGGGTCTTTGGTAAAGTTCTGGGTCGAAGCTGCTCCCCTAAGGCCGACGCGTTCTGGTTTTGTCTTCGGTCTTATGGTCTTCGTTTTCTTGTGTGTCATGCTTTTTATCATATTAAAGAGCTGGTCAAGTTTATCTTCATCTCCTTCCTCTTTTACAGTCCTAACTTTGCTATACCCGCCAGAGGCCTGCGTAGCTGACTCGTATTCGAGGGCGGCAGATAAGACATCCATCAGCGTCTTGTGACGAGCTAATCGTAGTGTTATTTGCATCTCATGATCACGAAGACCATCAATAAACGTTTGAACGGCCAACTTTTCCATCATGTCTTCGGGAGCTGTTGGATAAGCATATCGCACTAATCTGGCGATATCTACTTCATATTCTTGAAGAGCCTCATCTTTCTTTTGTCTTCGATTTTTGAGCTGCGACTGATATACATGCTCCAAGTGTTCGTGGCCATATCGCATATTTAACCTCTTCTTCAGTTGTTCGAAATCATCCGTCTCCTCTACGGCTATGGTCTGGAGCACATCTAAGGCATCTCCTCGAAGAGCGATAGTCAGGTTTACAGCCTTTTCTTTTTCAGACCATCCATTCGCTCTTGCAGCTGATTCGAACTGTTTCATGTAGTTGTTCCATGATGATTTTCCGTCGAAAGTTGGGACTTTGACATGAACGGAACTTCCACTTCCTTCACATTTCGGCCGTGTTTCCAACTTACATTTCGTCTCCTCTTCTTTTGTCTCTGCTATAATTGGATTGTTTTCTCTCTCTGCTGTCCCTGTTTCCTCCATCTTCCTTTCCATCTCTTTTATCTTCTCTTCGAAGGCCAACATATCGGCAGCAACTTGGTTCTTTAATGAAGACATTTTATCGTCGAGGGCAGACATCTCAGAGGTGACTTTAGAGATGTTAGCAGAAACCTTGCTTTCCAGAGAAGAAATCTCGTTAGAAACTTTGCTTTCTAAAGAAGCGATATCACAGGAAACCTTGGCTACATCACCACAGACTTTGGCTACATCTGAAGAAACTTTCGAAATATCTTCAGAAACCTTGTTCTCTAATTTAGAAATCGACGAGATGACAACAGCAACCTGCTTGTCTTCAAATATATGAGTTTCCGGATCCAAACCTTCTTCTTTTAAAGCGTTCTTTAGTCGTTGGACTAACTCAGCCTTTTTTCCGGTAGAAGCTAATTCTCTGTCTTCAAGATGTCTTCTTAAATCCGTAACTGTGAGCTCATTAATTGTAGCCATATTTCACTTCTTTTTATTTCAAATTCAAATTAGATTTATTTAAAATCCCGCTTTTTATTTGAATATCCCACTTCTGACACCACTGTTATATATTTATATAGTTCGAATTTATTTGTCTTTATTCTAATTTATTGTCTATAATCTAATTTATTAAAACTCACGATAGCTAATTACTAATTTATTAAATAACTTTACAAATGTATTTATTTCACGTTTCGTTACAAGTAAACCGCGTTTACCGATCTTCTTATGACTGACTGCCAAATAAAAAAATCTTTCATTTATATACACAACTGTTGTCATCCAGAGAATTCGGCGGACTTCTTGAATAATCTCGTATTTTGGTGAAGGCGCTCGACTCGTTTTTCAACCTCGAGACGTGGATGACTCACTAAAATTAGTGTCTAGAGATTTCTGTAAACAACTGGTAGCGAAGCTCAGGTATATTTTGACCTACAAATTACGAGAATCAATAAAAAGAATTAGTCATAAAACATTTACAGTTCTATATGCCATAACATTTAAAATCGTAACAGATTGGTCACCTTCCATTCTTAGGATATATTGCATTCACTATTTTTACTTTCTCAGTGACAATTTCTGATTTGTTAGAAGTATTGATACTGTCTAAATACCTGAAATTACATTATCTATAATTCAAATAATTAATGATTGCAATGCTTGGGAACATTGGTCATTTTTCAGATAAAACTACACAACCTAAGTAGTCCCAGCAAGATCGTAACTAAATGCATTTTTACATATTATTTTTAATTGCTTCTACAGTCTGCCACTTTTATTAATCTGTTTTACCAATATAATAGAATGTAATAAATATTGTTCACAAATCATTAAAAATATTTTGAATAAATGTATAAACAACATTTAATGTATCAGAACATATTAATAAACATTGATAATTTATAAGTTGCATTCTACAAAAATAACCTATGATAAAACTAAAAATATATATTTTTTAATAAATTGATATCAAAAATGTACATATCTATATAATGGGTGTATGATTATTTATTGTTCTACAATTGCAGCACTTTTTACACATAGAGTAGAAATATGTTTTATTTACTGGAATTATAGTGTTATTTTGAGTTTTATACAGCATTGGAAAGTAAATAATAGATTAGGATTCAATAATATCAAACATTATTTAATACTTACTTACTTGCGTTAAGATTGTGCCTTTACAAATATCTATGATTGTTTATTTTTTTTATATTTCTAAATATAAAGTATAAATTAAATCATGAAATCAGAATAAAGGTACACTTAGTCAAGTAAAGAGTTGTCAGTATTCCTTCTTAAAAAATTACTTAACATTAAAAAGAACTTGCACCTGCTCCCAGTCTTAGTTATTCAGGACTTCTCCTATGTGATACGGTGATACCTGAGACCAATATAAAAACATGTTCCTCAACTACGAATTACCTTTTTGGGGCTCGATTCGGCATTCATCTGGCTTCTCATTTAGGCAGGATTCTCACGTATTCTTGCAATATTTTCCTGGAGACAGCTGTAATCTTTTTCTTCCTGTCTGTCTCAGTATTCATGTTCAATTTCGCCATCTGTAATCCCGCCTTACCTTCCTACTTGTACCAGGGCTGCCTGTCTCCAGTTGGGTTGCCTTTCTTCCTATTATTTTCTCTCTAGAGTCCTCTTCACGTTTTTCTTCACTCTTCTGGTATCGTTAGCATCTCCTCAATCAGTTCATTGATCCATTGTAGCTTGTTTCTCAGGCTTGTCTCGGCTATTACATAAGTTAACAGATAACAACCGAGTGTGTGAGTTGGTACTTTCTCATTCTTTTTTTTAAATGTTCACTTGCTATGTCTCCATTTATTTTGTTGTATATTATTTCTCTTACCTAAACAAACATGTGTATCGAAAGACGCTTGGTGATAACTTCCAGAGCGTCATCTGCTCTCTTTTCTAATCTGCTTGAGTGAGGATGCCTCATGTGCGACTTTGTTAAAAGTGCCGTAGACCAGACTGGCGCCGCGTACAGAACGATTCATTGCACAACATAATGAGGGTATTCCTCCTCTCAATTTTGGACCCTTTGATGTTAGGCATGATCTCTCCCGCGGCAGTTCTTAACATTCTAATGTTATTACATCCTTTTTTCGTGGTCCGTTGACAACTATGGTCTCGGTCTTACCGTAGTCTATGTATTTTCATCCATTCAGCAGTTCGAAGATAAGGATCTCCCTGTCCCGCGCCACCACAAGCGTAGCTAGGTCATCCGCAATTGTAAAAAGGATTACGCCCTCTCCATATTGTTGAGACGTCGACCACTATTTTTTTTATACAACTATTTCTCTCCATGACTGAAACTCTGGTTACTTCTTTACATTTTAAAGCATCGAAAGCATTCCAGACGTCAAACAGCAGTAGGATCGCACATTGACTTTAATATTGAGACCTACGGAAGTGAGGAAATTACAATGAGATATGGTATAGAAAAAATAAACTAGTGGACCAACAAACAGTACCATTTAGCATATTGTCTTTGGTTTCGACTTTTAGTTCAGAACATTGAGTATATTTATTCTCTACATTTTTTGTTTTAGTTGCAAATTATTGGTGGTTGGAGGAGGAACAGGAGGATGTTCTACAGCAGCAAAATTTTCCCGTATAATGGCTAAGAATGATTTAATTGTACTGGAACCAAGTGAAGATCATTATTATCAGCCTCTCTTTACTCTAATAGGTACAGTAATACAATCTACCTTTAAAGTAAGATTCTCATTATTATACACAGGTTGTTGCTTTACAGGAAGGGTATAGACAATTTCTTATATTTTTTATTTGATGGATTATTGACTTGGCCTTATTATCTAATTATTTTGTCCACTCGTATATCAGATTTTTATAATAATCCCCAAGATGCAATGAACAGGATACAGAGAAATAAAAATAGTAATTGTTGGAGATTTTAAACCAAGAGCAGGAAATACAAGCATAGACAATGCAAAAGAGCTTTTAAAAGAAGACACATTGAATCGTACACACACGCACATCAGAATAAACAACATGTTTTTCCTCATAAACTCCAATATAAACCTGATAGAACACACAAGTTCAACAGACAATAATAAATAGAGAAATAATACTAACAAAAATCCAAATAAGAATAAATAAAGTTGACGTAGTACTCTTATTTTAGCCATTTAAAAAGAAATCTGACATTCGGTCGACTGAGTTGGGAAGGGGCAGCTAATTATTCAAAAATCCCACTCACACGTCTGTACTTTTTTCTACAAATTTTGCAAGTATTTACTCTTACGATATTTTTTAATTTTTGATTTTAATTTCACGCCTTGGTTTCATTTGTATTTGGCCCATTTGTTGTTCGAAGCTTCCTACAATCAAATATCACAAGTGTAGAAAGTGACTCATGTTTAATTATTTTTTGTAGGCCAGTAAAATTGGACATTGGCTGAAATTTAAGACTGTGCTTCTCTTACCAAAAGCAGAATTGCCCCCCCCCCAATCCGATGGGGCTCCACCGTTGGAGGTGTGGATTACCACCCGGGGAACTATATTGTTATTTTTCATCCTACTTCTTGTACTTTCGCCCTTTGTTGTTTTTGCATGTTCCACGATGCTAAAGCCTGACGCCAAAACCACCACTTTGGAGAACCTGCACTTTCAGCCGCACATTCTGGATCCGACGCTGTTTGTAGTCGCCCACTCTGGATCAGATGCTGCTTGATTCTATACAAACCCTAAACTCCGGGGTCACCACTTCCGCCATCCTCGCCGTACCGAGGGTCTTCCTCTCCGCCGTGACTGCCGTTGTGGTCTTCATCCGTAACCCTGGACAAGGGACCCTAAGCAGGTACTAGTTTCCCGGGTCAGGAAACACCTGGAATCTGTGGGAGGCAGGGAATGATTCATTTTTCCCTGATAGGACTAGCCAAGGAATTCCAAGGAGTTCCTACCCACTACCCATAATGGAATTACATTTCCTTAATTCCGGGTGTTACAGTTATACCGCTGATACTCGGTCGTCAGAGCCTCGTTTGTGATAACAGGGTCCACCAACGTGAAGGTGAGGTTGACATTTGAGTAGGAGAGGCTGTTTGAGACGCATCACTACCCCAATAAACCCCGTCCAATGAAATTGGACGTTTACCCTATAAAAAAGAGTATTTTTGTTCTGACAAAAGGAGAAATTTACAAACGAATCGGAGGACTATTGCAGAATCTGTTTAATCACTTAGAAATTGACCTTCTGACTGTTTAAAGAATATGCGTTAAAGATATATAGATAAAGAATATTTTATATGAAATCAATTTCAATAATTTGACTGGTCTATTTTTAAACTGTTCAAATGTTTTGGCAAAGATTTGGGTTCTAAGAAAAATGTAACGTTGTCAGCGTGTATGATTCAACTTAAAGTTATCTGCAATGTGGCAGTTAATACCTTTCTCTAACGGTATATAATGACTGCAATTAACAACATCTTCGCAAAGATGTATATGAAACCCCTCCGCGGGGTTTCATAAAGCAAAGAACAGAATTGTTTGTAGTATTATTATTAGTGAAGGAGCTTTTACGTTTACTTTTTGTGAATTGTGACTAATTTAGTTTAATTCAATTTGTTGACAAAAAATAAATATGACTGACAGTAATATAGTGAACCGTATATCAAAAAGAAACGTCACAATTTAACACCCGAAGAAAAAACTATGATCGGAGATGTGTTTGAGGGACTTAGAAAGAGAACAAAATATGGATGTAGGCGATGTATTATTATGTAGTATTTTGACAAAAGTTTCTAAAGCTAGTATGTACAGAGTAATTAAAACAGACGATAGAACAAACGAGAATAATACTTTGAAGACAAGAGGAAGGAAACAAATAAAATTGGATGATCCAACCAAATAGGCCATTCGTCGTTCAGTACATGAATTTTATTTAAAAAAGGAATTACCAACTGTAAAAAAATTGCTTTTTCTCTTCAATCTATTGAAAATATTCCAAAAAATGTAGAGTGTTTTACGTACTTAAGTTTAAATGTATTTCAAGACAAAGAAGAAGAGGCGCAGAATTATTTTATGGGGCAGAAAGTATCTGAAACAATTAACAGAATTTCAAAGAGATGGAAAAAAACATTATAGAGATGAAATATGGTTAAATGAAGGATATACTGTGACAAAAATATGGCATGATTTAAATGTGAAAAGCAAACAATAAGCTTTCCTAACTCTTTGTCGACAGGTTTAAAAGCCCCACCCGGAAAGGGAAAGCGCCTTATTATTAGCCTTATTTGTAGCGACTCAGGATTTGTTGAAGGAGGTTTAAATACATTTGTTTCTAAAAAGACTGGAGATTACCATGAGGAAATGGATGAGGATCATTATGAAAAATGGGTTTCAGATATTCTGTTAAAAATCGAACCAGGATCTGTTATTGTTATTGATAAACGCCCCATATCACTGCCGGCGTGTAGAACAGTTATCAAACACTAAATGAAAAAAACCGAGATTTGCGGATTCGCTTACTAAAAAACATATTAAATTCGATCAACCAATTTTGAAAATCGAGGGACTAAACTTAGCACGATGTCATTAAGATAAATATATTAAATATGTAGTAGATAAAATGGCACGAGAATGAGGCGTAATTGTACTCCTCGTTCCATACGTTTCTCGTGCCATACGATTGTGAAGACGACAGTTTTATTGCATATAAGGCACACCGGAACCGCTTGCGGCCTATCAGGTAGTATAAAACAATATTGTTTAGTCCATTCTGCCAGAAACTTTCTATTTTCACTGTCCACTTTTCTCCTTTTCGGATCCATATTAACGTAGGTACAAAAATATGTTTTATAAAACGAACGAAAACGCGAGTAATCACAAAACAAATTAACGGTAGTGCGCTACGCGCATGTCACTGACCAACTAGTGAGCGACTGTCAGTCAGTGGGCAGCAGCGTTGCCAGACCCATAAATTTTATTTCCCCAAATTGTGTTTTAAAAGTTGCCAGATTTTGAACAGAATTCCCCAGATTTATATATTTCAGTTATAGTAAACGTACAATATTATTATAAAACAATATTTCATCACTTATACATAATTTATTAAAAAAATTTTATTAAAAATCCTTTGTAAAAGGTATATATTTAGACCTAAATACCTTTTACACCTTTTATATCTTTTACAAAGGATTTTTAATAAATTTTTTAATATATGGTATACAGCCAACTACAGGAACGTAGGTTCCTTGTGGATTTATACATAATTGTCATTATGTGTATTTATCATTTCACTTCCCATTTGAAAATTAACAGCAGTTTTATTTTGAACTTGTTTGACTCAGCAATCGATATTCCGCAGTTCGGTCCGCAGTTCAACCTTTCGCGGTCCGGATTCGGACCGCGGTCCGTCTGTTGCCGACCGTTGATCTAAGGCATCTGTATAATTAGAAAATAATTTTTATGACAATCAATTCGTTCTAAAATCCTGATTATTTTTTTTAATAAAAACTGCACACTTTTGACTCGTCGATTTCCTTTCCTCTCATACTTGCAAAGGTAAACATTGAAACTGTTAGTCACTTTCTACAATTTTGGTACTGAGGTATAGTGAGTAAGATCAGTTTTTATTTTTAATTTTTAATTAGTCGATAATTGCTAAAACAATATACAATTATTTAGGTGGTGGAATATCAAATATTGAAGCCTCTAGAAGAAAGGAACGCGATGTACTACCAACAAATTGTACTTGGGTTAAGGACAAAGCAGTTGAATTCGATCCTGATAAAAACAGTGTTAGAACACAAAACGGCCACGTCATCGAATATGATTACATCATAATAGCTGTGGGCTTGGAACTTCGATATGATTTGGTAAGAAACGTTTTTTAAATTTGTACATAAAATGAGAATCAGTCAGCGGTGGATTCAGCATTGTTACGACGGGGGTGGGCGATCGGCTAAATTTCTAGATAATAATAATAATAAATATAGTAGTAGATTCACTGAATATAAGGAACGGCATGACTCAGTAGGGAAGATCCTCCATCAAGAGATAGCTATTAAACTGGGACTTCTACAAACAATCCATCTCCCATATTATCAATACGTTCCAGAGAGTATGCTTGAGAATGACAACTACAAGCTATATTGGGATCGCACTGTGCTCACAGAACAAACAGTAGCACATAATAGACCAGATCTCGTGCTAGTTAATAAACTAACAAGACAAACAACTCTAATCGATGTGGTGATACCTAACAACAATAATCTGCGTGTTAAGTACAATAAAAAGATCGCCAAGTACAGAGATCTGGAAATACAAATAAGAAGACAATGGAGAATGGAAAGTACGCAGACGATACCTATTATTCTTTCTACCACTGGAGTCATTCCGAAGAACCTCCTAGAAAACATAAAAAAACTGGGTCTAAATGAACATCTGTATAAGGTCATGCAGAAAGCTGTGCTACTTTCGACGTCTAGATGCGTGCGAAAATTTTTAGGAGATACACCGACGTACCAAGTCACCTAGAACTCGATAACATGGAAAGAGTCCCACCAGAGCTCAATCCTTTTGATACAGAGGTATCTGGGATGAGTGAATTTTCCCCCTAGAGGGAGTGTGAGCCGTATGGCTAAATCTGGGTAGTAGATACCATTTTTTATAATTAACTAATTTTTAAAATGAATTACTAAACAATTAATTTTATAATTACTTAAATACTTAAATTACTTAAATAAAAGTCGTTATTTCTTTTAGTTTGAAAATATATATTTTTTCTTAAAAAACATTTGTTTTTAAATTAAATTAAAAAGAAAGTTATGTTATTATTTATGTAGGTTCCTGGATTGCAAGAAGCGTTGGATAATCCAACTAATGTATGTTCAATATACTCACCCAAATACGCGCCACACGTTTTCGAAGTTCTGAAAAATGTTAAGGGTGGCGAGATTCATTTTACATTTCCAAGTTCACCAGTAAAATGCCCTGGAGCACCTCAGAAAATTTGTTATATCGCTGAGGACTATTTTAGAAAGGTGAGTAAATTAATTTAAAACAATAATAATATTTCACACAATCGTTATGTCAAAATCACATGACTGCTATGATGTAAGTCCTAAGTCTAACACGATTCATTGCGCATCGTCGAGGTATGAGCCATATTCAACAAACTTAAGTTTGTTGCAGTATAACTTTTATTAATGACTCAATTGTAAGAAATAACGGTTCAATGATAAAAGCAATTATTTTATATTTTTTAGCAAGGTAAAAGAAACGATGTAAATATCACGTATGATACATCATTACCAGTGATTTTTGGTGTCAAGAGGTACGCTGATGCTCTTTGGAAAATATGTAAAGAACGAAATATTAATGTTAATTTAAGAACAAACTTAACAAATGTTGATGCTAGTAAAAATGAAGCTACTTTCACAAATTTGGATAAACCGGAAGAGAAAAAAACAGTAAAGGTAAGTTTAGGTTATTAAAAAACCAAACAATTTTTTTAAAACCGGACCTTTTTTTATGATGGTGGAAATGTTCTAAACACCATATCTTGATCGGCGTGTGTTGGATTCAGAGCAGTGGAAAACATCTGAGCCCATTTCCCCCTGTATAGAGGAGGTCCTGCAAACGGATGCCTTCCTATTGCCCTGCCTACCAACTAAAATCACCCATTCTTCGTCAAGACACGCCCGTACGTGTTCAGTTAGTGAACGAAACTTAGGGGTGCCTTGCTCTGCCTGAATTGGCAATGAAGATTTGTTGCCGGTTCTTAACTAGAAGCAGTAAGGAACCAGAAGAAAATGTATGTAAAATAGTGACATGGCCTTACTGATGGTATTAACTAAGAGTGGTAAGGAACCAGGAGGAAAGTATATGGAATGTATAGGTGTCTGACACGTTCTAGGATGTGCCACATGTCTTCTTGCGTGCCCACAGTTCCAATTTTTTAAATCTTTTGAGATTTGGTGCGTCTGTCCGTGCCCTTTCGTATTGTGGTTGTCTGCTCCAACACTTCGAAATTCTCTTCAAGGCCAGCTAATTCAGGTAATTTTTCGCTGTATAGCCGCTGGACGCTGTGGGTCATAGTCAGGTCCGTATTTTCCAGTATAACTACCTTCACATTACACTGGGACTCGACGGGGTACCCTATTGTGATCTCTGTCTGTCTGTAAAGTCTCTCCGGCCAATCGCGCTGGACGTTTCTCTGGAAGTCGGCATAAGTATGACTCTTTCGAGACTCCCAGCCAGTCCGCTGGGTATTGAGGGACCATGCCAGGCATCCGTTTGCGTACCAATCTATGCTGTAGCGGCTTTTGGCACGAGTCTATCTTTTTTCGTCTCAAGGTTGAGACCTAGTTCTCTCTGTGTGTCGGCTTCTATATACATCTTATCCACAGGCTCTCTGGAGCTTTCTTGTAGCCATTATCTTATGTGCTGCATCTCAGCTGGCATATCTCCCTTTACAGGTTTAGGGTATTCTTTGAGGTAGGTTTTAGTAAAAAAGGTAAGTTTAGGTTATTAACAAAACAAACAAATTTTTTAAAACCGGACTTGATTTTTTTTTGTGTTGAATAAATTAGTTGATTAGGTGGTAGTAGTGTAACGTTTGACCAAAATATGGGACACATCGAACTTACCGTGCACAAGTTATGATAAATAGAAATTTCAAACAAAATTCACAAGTCACCCTGTATATTAATAAACAATGGGAATAGCCATTTTTTAATGGTCATTTTGTTCCTCCATACGAGGTAGGAAGTGTACAGTTCCTCATGACTCACCCTGTATATTCTTGCATTTACTTCCGTTGATAAAAACTTATTTCTCCAAATAGAAAAAAGTGTCTTTATATATAAAACTTTATCAGATGAACAACAAGGATTTAGATCCGGAAGATCCTGCATAGACGCCGTATTTGTACTAAAACAAATCACAATCAAGTACAATAAACCAGCATACCTATGTTTTATAGACCTGACAAAGGCTTTCGATTGCATCCAGGTCGAAGACGTCTTACACCTACTGTATAAAAGAAACATACCAATCAATATTATACAAACCATCGAAAACATCTATCTCCATAATCGAATACAGGCAAAGATAAATGGAAAACTAACACAGTGTATACCAGTACAAAGCGGAGTCAGGCAGGGTGACTCGTTGAGCCCACTTCTCTTTAATATATTAATGGACGAAATAATACAAGCAGTACGTAAAGTCTTGCTCTTTATTCTGTTTGATAACCTTACCATTAGAGGCTGTCTTTTGTAATTTCAAGAGATTTTTCTAAAATAGGTAGGTTTTAAAAGAACCTATTTTATTGGCTATGTAAATCGTGACAACGAAACTGTGGCGCCCTCAAGTATGTCTTAATAGGAGATATGGCTAAAACTAAACTGACTAAACTTTCGCAGATGCGTTCTTGAATGAATGCCGAGTATTCAACCGCAATCATAATTAGCATTCGCTGTATTTCTATCCTATTATTGCATTGATATACATTAATACTATGAAGAAAATAATGTCTCTCTAGTTTCAATGCCCCTACGACAAAACACTAAATTCCAAAAAACGAGTATGTATTATCGAATAAAATAATATTTAAATTTATTGCTTTTAGTTCTCCATGCTCCATGCTGTACCCCCAATGGCTACACCAGATTCTTTATCTAAAAATAAAAAAATAACTAATGAGGCTGGTTTTGTCGATGTTCACAAATATACCATGCAACATGTGAGGTATCCGAACATTTTTACCATTGGAGATTGCAGTTCTACTCCTAATTCAAAAACTGCTGCAGCTGCAGGTAAATAATTGTTCTTAATCATAAGTTCTTGTATGTTTTATTATATGTATTCGCTATGTGCAAGTTCGGAAGAGCGACACCAGAAAATGTTTTTAATAATCGTATTATTTGTAGCTGCACAGACCGAAGTGGTATTTAAAAATCTATGCGCAGTAATGAAAGGTCAAGACCTTTGCAAGACCTACGATGGCTACGCGTCTTGTCCACTGGTTACAGGTTATGGGAAATGTATTTTGGCTGAGTTCGACTACGATTTGCAACCGCTCGAGACTTTCCCATTTAGTCAAGACAGAGAATTGAAAACGATGTATATTTTAAAGAAAAATTTCATGCCAGAACTGTACTGGCACGTGATGCTCAACGGATATTGGAACGGACCTGCTCTGTTTAGAAGAATAATGCATCTTCAGTTGACTGACAAGAAAAATGGTTCATAAAATTAGATGTATTCGTTTAGGGGTAGATGGTAGCTTACTAGATAACTTGCCATAACTCAGTGAATTTTATATTTTTCCTCAATATATGCAACAAGAGAAATATGTGCTTTTAACAAATAGTGTTGTCTAATGCAAATAAATAATTCTCCCTCAATATCTCTTCCAATAGTAGAACGTTATCATTATCCCGTTTTTTGTTGTGTCTTTCGTCCATTTGTAACAAACATTGTCAAGTTCCGGTATTCCATTGATTTTATTAGCATAGATAATTATAATATATAAATATTGGTTCATCATTTGGCACAAGGTAAGGTGGATTTTAATTGAGTTGTAAAAAAGTTTTATAAAACCGAATTTGATGTTATACATGTTCACATTGGAGAGCAGAAATTGGGGATACGGATATATACACCACATCTCAAGACGTAGACAAACTGCCATAATATTTTTTTGTGTGGTAATCTGTATGTTTAAGTTAAGGCTTCAAGTAACTATTTCAGTTGTATGAACGTTTTTTTGACATTTATATACTAAATTGAATTTCTTTTGTCTGATCTTTATCCAACTAGACCATATTCCTAATAATTGATCTGTCGTTATTCTTTCGTTTCTTGTATTATTGATCACTCGTTAATCTACATCTCTTGACTGATTTTTGTTTTCTTCTCGTTTGTCTGTAGTCCATGGTGTCTAAAATTTATACATATATATATATATATATATATATATATATATATATATATATATATATACAGTGTGTCCACTTAAGTTCGCACCATATGGGAAACTTTCTTATTATTAGTTTTACGAAAAAAAGTTATTCTTCATAAAAAGTTCTGCATGGTGTAAAAACTAAAATACAACCATCAGATATTAAAATTTTTCAGTCGTATACGAGGTATGTTCAAAAATATGAATTTTACCAAGAGCAAAGTACCTCAATTTTTTATAATTTCGAAAATTGTTATCAAGAAAATTTATTTAAAATTGTAAACATATCTAACAAACATTTAACTCATTTGTTATCAAAAATTTGATAACCTTTTAGTTTCCCAACTTGACTGTTGCAGCATTTTGTTGATGTTTTAAAATAATTCGTACACATAACAACGTTATTTATTTTACAATCTAACATGAATAGCAATTATAACAATAAGTTGTTAAAAATATTTGCAAAAAATATTAAGTAATAGATTTTCTTAGATCAAACCGCCATTGCCTCAACGTACCCACCTTCTCTTTCAATACAAGTTTCCGTTCTACGACAAAATTCTCTTAACACATTTCGAATCATGTTGGGAGTTATAGTCTGAATGGTTTCCGTAATAACCCTTTCCAAATGTTGGACGTTTGTAAACGGCCCTTGTTTGTATACATTCTCTTTCAAGTAACCCCAAAAGAAATAATCTAACGGGGTTAAATCTGGCGACCTAGCTGGCCAAAAAGTCTCTGAATATCTGTGGATTACTCTTCCGTTAAACAAATGATCCAGATACTGCCTTACTTCCAATGTACTATGACATGTAGCGCCGTCCTGCTGGTACCATATTTGTTGCCGTTCATGTAGTGATAGGTCATCAATAAAATCACACACGTGAGTTTGTAAGAAATTTAGATAATTCTGAGAGGTCATGGATTGTCGAAAAAAAAAATGGCCCAATTATTTTATCTTTGTAAATGCCACACCAAACATGTGTTTTAAATGAATATTGATCACGAGTCCTAATTGTGAAGTTAGGATTGTTGTCACTCCACCATCGACAATTTTGAGAACTCACCGTTCCATTTGAATTAAATGTAGCTTCGTCTGAAAACATTATTTTTCTAACAAAAAAAGGATCGTCTTCAATTTTTTCTTGAATAAGAAAACAAAATTCTATTCTCTTATCGTAGTCTCTAGGTTTCAATGTATGAATAAATTTAGGCTTATATGGTTTAAACTGATTTTCCTTCAAAATTTTTGCAATTGTACTTTTACCTGCATTTTGCAACAACAATGCCCTCTTTCGTAGAGAATATTTAGGATCTTGCACTGTAGATATCATTACATCTAATTTCGTCGCCTCATTTGCAACGTGTTTTTCACGTTTGTTGCTGAATTTAATTTTAACATCTCCGTATACTTTGAATTTTACCATAAGTCTCATAACTGTTGTATGTTGTATATTTCTTCCTGGATGTCTGTTATTAAATATTTCAGCTGCTTCCCGATACGTTTTATAATTATCACCCACAATTAGAAAATTGTGGGTGATAATTCACCCACTAAATTCACTACCACCGGCATCTTTAATTAGAATTTATTGTAACTGTCAAATATGTATTTTACGTTTAATGTCAGATATGTAAATATCATGGCAACGTGATTAAAAATGTACTTATGCATTTATTACTGTTGTAGGGTAGACATGCAATAGCAAAATGTAGAAAATCTCCATTTTAAACATTTTGTATACATGGCTATATATTTGAACATGTTGTAGACTTCTAAATAAATTTTCTTGATAACAATTTTCGAAATTATAAAAAATTGAGGTACTTTGCTCTTGGTAAAATTCATATTTTTGAACATACCTCGTATACGACTGAAAAATTTTAATATCTGATGGTTGTATTTTAGTTTTTACACCATGCAGAACTTTTTATGAAGAATAACTTTTTTTCGTAAAACTAATATTAAGAAAGTTTCCCATATGGTGCGAACTTAAGTGGACACACTATATATATATATATATATATATATATATATATATATATATATATATATATATATATCAAACGGGATTCCACTGCTACTGCTGTACCCTGCATCTCAATATCCATATTCTCCCATTCTGTCAATCGTTTTCTTCCATGTTTCTGTCCCTCATTGCATTTTCGATTCCATTTTCCATGTTATGTTTGTTGTCAACGTTTTCTTCTGTTTGCAGGATGATATTCTAACGCTCTGTTTGGCGATCTTTTGTGATTCATTCTTTTTCCGTGTACATACGTTTAAGCTGTGAAGTTATTGTTCTATTTTCTGTTACTTCCATCTGTCGTCTAACGTCTTTATTTCTTCTATATTCCAGCTTTGATATTCTCCTCACTCTTCTGCGGAATTCCATTTCCACTCTCCCAATTTTTTCCTTATTTTCTTGCCAAGTTGATATCACTCTGAGCCATACGTTGTTGTAGGCTCTAATTAGACTTGTATATTGATAAATTGGTGTCCCGTCTGATTTTATGTGACTAACATATTGAATTTAGTCTTTATATGACTATTGTACTGTTATTTTACTCTGGATTGTTTATCGAACGTTTATCAGACGTTCCCTCATAGGATATAACGCTTTCTTACTAGAGAGAAGATAAAATCAGTAAAAGTAGAAAGGATATACCTAAAGATAATTCGACTAATAATAATAATTATGTTTCAAAAATGTTAGACAACATATAATTCTCAAATTTTCTTTAGGAAAGAGTTAGTGCATACAATACACTTTCCTAAGAGAATAGTAGTTATCTACTTTATTCTATTAAGAAAATAGTAATAATATGTGATATATCTGAGTATTGGGAGAGATATTAGACTTGCACAAATAAGATTACTGTGACAGATGAGTTCTAAAAGAACAATAAAGATTAGATTCCGAATAACCCATAAGGAATTATAAGATGAGATATGTTAATTTGATGCAAAATGTGATATAGTATTCTAGATATATAGATATGGCTGTGAGGGACGTCAATGATAGGATTTTAGAACACATTAATTAAAAAAAAGTAATTATAGAACGAAGAACAACATCATAAAAATCATTATCTTTTTAAAATAAATTCATTCTATAGACTTGTAAAATGTCCACTGTATTTACTAATAATTGACAGATGTTACCAAACTGTGTAATCTTCATAGGTTAGGATTATTAACTTTAGTCTCAAACATAAATATTTACTTATATTTTGTAATTGGAGCGATAAAGCGGAAAAAGTAAATACTTTCTGTCTAAATAGTTTTCGATTCAACTGTACAAATCACAAAATTGTAATGGGTATTTATTTTTCAATTCTAAGTTAATAATTCTTAATCTAACTGATTTTTTTTGAAGATATAGTTTGAATCTGTTTAGTCTGTTTAAGAATACATGATGTTATAACTTGTTATTATGTTATTATTTAAAAATCTCTCACAAATCTTATGTTCATCAGACATAATATTAATTACAAGCTGAGTTATGTCAGGTTGTTTTTAAGCGAAGGTTTTTGGTATAAATATTATTCTAAAAGTGTTCATTGTCGAACAAATGCTTAAATAGTTGAAATGTGCTTTAAAATTTAGCGTTATATATTTACAACATATATTTTATAAATAAAGAATATATTAGAAAACTGTTAATTTAATGTTTTTATTTATTCACTTATTTTTATTGAAATTAACGTGACTCAACAACGAAGACCATTGACATGGTTACAAAAGTTACTACAAAGATACTGCAATATATTTAAAGAGAATTACAATGTGTATAGTATTTATAAAGTCAGTTGAAACACACAAAAAACTGGTTACCGACAAACATTAAAAGAATAGTACCAGACATGGGCGCATCATTTATTTTTATAATCAAATATAGATTAATGAAGAACAGAAAAAGGACAATTTTAATTTACTTAAAGTTGTCGTAAAGTACATAAGTGTATAAAAAAGTTTTTAACATGTCATATTTAGCAACAAAAATAATTTATAATTAAATGACAATAGGCCATATTAACAGTATAATGATTTAATTATACTTCGTAAAATAATAAACATTTTAGCTGTACAGCACTGGCATGAATCAACAGCGTGTCTTCTCTGTACACCGGCCGCCCCCTGGAAGCGAAACTACAAGTAGCGTGTTAAATATTGGTGATTTTGAATAACATATCAATGTCCAATATTTATTTGATGGGATGTATCTTTCATTCGCTCTTTCTTCCATCTATTTCCTACGAAGTACGGGGATTGTTCAAATACGTTTGAAACATTGACGCGTGTTATTTATACTTTAACTTGATTACCGGTAAATGTAATATTGAACTGCACTTATAAATCGAGTCGGAGAGAAATGTTTCAACTGACTTTTTAAATACTATACAAAAATGACAAGAACACTATTAATATACTGAGGAA